AAATTACAAAAACTTTTGAAGTTTGTTTCCAATTTCAAATTAGTTGGCAACGCATAAAAAAATTTTATACAACTATAATAACTAGGGCTGTCACAAATATTCGGTTAACCGGTTTTTATTTTCCGTGGAAACCGTGGTTACAATTTTAATAAAAACCGGTTTTTTCGACCGGTTTAAAATCGGTTTTTTCGACCGGTTTAAAATCGGTTTTTTCGACCGGTTAAAAACCGGTTTTTTCGACCGGTTGAAAACCGTTTTTTTCGACCGGTTGAAAACCGGTTTTTTCGACCGGTTAAAAACCTTTTTTTTCGACCGGTTGAAAACCGGTTTTTTCGACCGGTTAAAAACCGGTTTTTTTTTCGACTGGTTAATACCCGGTTTTTTAACCGATTGGAAACCGTCTTTTCGACTAGTGAAAATCAGTTTTCTTGACCGATCCAAGACCGGTCAGTCTATAATTTTTAAAAGTCGGACTGTGTGATGCGTCCTTTGACGGTAAGCACCGCAGCACACGCCGCGCCGTTCGTGAGCGGCGGTTGCTTATATAATATACGAGCCCAGAATCATATCATTTGGCCCAGTCACAGAAAAGTCAATATTTTATTTTTTACTTAATTTTAGACAACAAACACAAAAGAAAAATCTATTGAATTATTATTATTGTAATAGTTGGATTCAATAAATTTTTTTTTGTGTTTGTTGTCTAAAATTAAGTAAAAAATAAAATATTGAATTTTCTGTGACTGGGCCAAATGTGTATTTAGTAAATACACATAAAATAAATACTATTTATTAAATACCATTTAGATAATTAAAATAAAAATTTATCAAATAAACAACTTTTTCTTTTCAAAAACGTGGTTTTGCCGCCATCTGTTAATGACATTATGAATGACAGTTGTGAATAAAGCTAGATTGTTGAATAAAATGGTTTAACTAGTGTTTTTTATGGATATTTGACTAATTTTGTTGTTTAGAGAGTAATCTTTTATTTAAAAACATTTGCCTTTACTTTAAAACTTAAAAAAGCAATCATTCAAATTTAAATTAACGGCGGCAAATAAATCAAAGATGGTTGACAGAAATATCACACGATAATTAATTGTTTCGACTTTTACTTGATGAAACTCCATAATAATATTGTTTTATTTTAATATAAACTACACTGTTTAAAAGTTTCACTATTTTATTTAAATATGACAATTGTTTCGCTATAGCGTATATATATATATATATATATATATATATATATATATATATATATAGTGTATACTGTGTATACACAGTAGCATCTTCAGATCGTATACAAACTAATATTTATTTTACTTTTATATAAATGATGGTTTTACAGGTAATATTTTTAGTACAATATTGGGGAAGATTAAATTAACGTTATACAATAAAGGAACAATAATTATGGGGATGCCCTGTAATTTCTATAGGTAGTTATATAACACTAAAAATTTTTGAATTTATTAAAACTTGCGATGAATTAAATATTCCAGCCTTATTTCAATTGAAGCCGCAACCAATCTGTTTAAGAAAAAAAACGCTATTTCCCTATGAGGCTGAGGATGAGCCTATACAAGACGCAAAGCAACATTTTAAAATTAATTTTTATTTTGCAATTCTCGATACTGCGATACCATCGATAACTGAAATATTTTCTCAGACTAATCAAATATTATTAATTTTAGGGTTTTTATAAAATATCCTTGAATTAAATAATATGACTACAAAGAGTAGAGATTAATTAATTGTATCAAACTGGAAGAAATCTTAAAATATAATAATTCCAAAGATATTCATGCTACGGAACTCTGTGATTAAGATAAAAAGATAAAGATAAAGATAAATTTATTCAGCAAAAATTACAAAATTAATAAACAATATAACAAATAAATTTTATTGAGTGCACCTGATTTCTCGGAGGAAATCGTGCTGTGCTTGATATTTTAATATATTTGTTTTTAAGGTATGTATAACAAAATAAATTACTTATAAATTATCTAACAAAAACATAGTAGTAATTTCTATAAAAAAGAAAACTTTATAAAAAAAAACAAAAATAAACATGATTTTAATTTGAAATTAAACATCGAAAAATGTATTACGTAACTATTAAATTATAATATAAATTAAATATTATTATAGAAATTTCAATAAGAAGAAAAGAGCCATATCAATAATAATGGTTAATATTTAAGTGTTAAGTATTATTAAGTATTTGTTTTATTAATTGTTCATTTTCACCTATAAAATTTTTTACTTTTTTACAAAATAAACCAAATGAGTTCAGGGATCTGAGGTTCTGTGGCAAAATACCGAATATTTTTGGACCTTTAACAAGAATTGATCTTTCAAAAGATGTTGACGGTATCCTTGGAATTTGCAAAAATTCATGTCTAGTATTATATGTATGTTGTACTATTTCTCTGAGTTCAGGATTTTTGTAAACAAATTTTGAAACATTTAAAGCATAGAGCTGGTCAAAGTTAAGTACTCCCATTTCCTTATAAATTTCTTCAGTTGGGGATCGACGTTTTTTTGATAATATCGTTTTAACTATCCATTTTTTTGTTGTTATTACATTTTTAATTTGAGATTCGTATGTGCCTCCCCAAATAATAATACCATAAGATATTATTGATTCTACCAGTGACTTATAAGCAATTTTCATTATGTTAACCGGTACTATATCTCTGAGTCTGTAAAATGTAAATACTAATTTTTTTAGTTTGTTGTTTATAAAGTTGCTATGTTCATAAAATTTAAAAGTATTATTTATAATCATTCCGAGGTATTTTACGGACTCAGTTTTCTCAATTGTTCTTTCACAGAGGCAATTTATGTTTTCGTTGCATTTGGAATGAAATATTAAACTATTAAATTCAGGCTGAGTAGAGGAACTATTTGTAAATGTTAAAAATTTAGTTTTTGTAAAATTAAGACTAAGCAGGTTGTTATCTAGCCAGCGTTTTACTTGGTACAGTCCCTTTTCAGCGTCTTTTTTTACTTCATGCCAAGCATTACTATTAAAAATAAGTACTGTATCATCAGCATATGATAGTATGTCCCCAAATATGGGCATTTTGAGCAGATCATTGATGTATATTAAAAACAATTTGGGTCCTAAAACTGTGCCTTGTGGTACGCCATATTCAATTTCTTTTGAATTACTTAAGATGTCCTTTACTTTGACAAAAGATTCTCGATTTGAGATATAGGTTTTAAATAATTTTAAGACTATTCCTCTAACGCCATAAACTTCTAATTTTTCAAGTAATAATGAGTGACAGATACTATCGAATGCTTTTGCCAAATCTAAAAATATAGCTATAATTTTCTTCTTTTTGTTTAATAATGTTTGAATTTTTTTTTGTAAAACTGAATAAAGCGTCTTCTGTGGAGCATTTGTTTCTAAACCCAAATTGTTTTTGCGACAATAAATTATTTTTTTCAATGTGCTCATCTAACCTGCTTGCTATGCATTTTTCAAAAATTTTCGCGAATACAGTTATGACAGATATTGGCCTATAGTTTGATGGATTAGACTTGGTGCCATTTTTAAATATTGGTGTAATTATTGCCTGTTTTAGTCTGTCTGGAAATGTTCCATTAATAAATGTTAGATTTATGATATGAACAAGAATATCCGTTATCCATTCTTTTGTTATTTTAATAGTTTTTGTGTTTATTTTGTCTATTCCAGGTGCTGTATTATTTTTTAATTTTAATATTATTTTTAAAATTTCTTCCTTACTAACCGGTTTTAAGAACATTGATTTTTTTATATTAATATTAGGTCTCGAAATTTGACCTATTTCGGAAAAATAATTATTTTTTATGTTTTTTGCGATGTTTTCGCCGACTTTTGCAAAATAGTTAATAAAAACATTAGCGACTTCAGCTGGTTCCAATGTACGATCACCTTCGATAAGTTCAATGACATCAGTTTTATTGTTATTGTTTTTTATTATTTTCCAAATTTGTTTTGTATTATTTTTACTTTGATTAATTTTATTTCCGTAATAAACTTGTTTTGATTGTTTTAGTAGTTTGGTTAAAAAGTTTCTGTACCTTTTATATATAAGTATAGTATACTCATTTAAAAGTTCTATATTATTTTTTTCCTTTAGCAAACGTCGTTTTAATTTGTCCCGAGTTTTTATTGATTTTATTAGTCCCTCTGTTATCCACGGTTTTAATTTATTATAGTTTTTTATATTTTTGTACGCAGTACAGGTATTTATATAGTAATTGAAGGGGTTAGAGCAAAAAGGGTATAAGTGACTTTTTTTTTATTTCTGAGATTAGTATAGCTTCATCTAGTTAAATGAAATTTCTTCCAGAGCAAAACGGCTATAAGTGCGATTGGTGATCAGTAACACCATATTTTGGTGAGATGTAGAACCTTGTTAATCATTTGAACAAATCGGTTCCTGCAAAAAGGGTATAAGTGCACATAAACCGCTTTTGCAGCAAACAAAATTTATTTGTGCGTTGTTAGTTTTTATTTTAATAATAGTGTAGTTTTTTCTTGTTATTTAAGTTTAACTGTGGGTGTAGAATCTAAGAATAAATAGTTATAGTTTAAGACAACTTTGGAGGTACAATTTTTGCGTCCATAATTTGATTACTGGTGCAGCTTACATGTACACTTGGGATGAGACTGTAGCAAGTCAAGGATGAGAAGAAATTGGTTCCTGTTTAATACATTTTATTAAGTTATTGACTACCAAACCAAACTAATAGCATATAGTGAATCATGTGGGCGGCAAAATAAAAATAAAAACATGCAAATTATTTATGTTTCTAACAAAAGCTAACCATCTAAAAGAAATACATCATAAGTTTTTAGAACCTGGCCATACGTATATGAAATGTGACAGAAAATTTGCTTTAATTGAGAAAAATAAAAAAAGAATCCGCAAGTGTATATTCCTAATCAGTGGAGGACAGTGATTGCTCGTTCCTCAAAGAAGTTTATTGTGTTTAATATGACTCGAGAAATGTTTTACTCTTTCAATACTTTTAATGATTTGTGCCCATTTTTAAAATGTACTTGCGGATTACATTCTACCGGACGTCCATCGTTTTCCCTAGAATCAACACTTAAGCAATCTAACAAAACCCCAATGCCTATTAAATTTGAAAAATGGAAGAGCCTTCTGGAGTGCATTCCGTCTATTTATCATGGTTTTTACAAAAACATGATCCACCAAAAATCTAAAGAAAAAAAAGCAGAAAAAGACACAACAGCAACTACTAAACGAGAACCAGGTCCCAGTAATACTAAAGGGGCAAATAATGTAGAATCGGATGATGCAGAGGACTTTGATGATCATGACCTTGATTCAGATTATGAATAAGTTGTTTTTCTTTAATAAAAATGTTTACATACAAAAAAATTAGTATTTTTTTAATAAACTTTAATTAAACGACTCTTTCAGTTTGTGCAAAAAGGGTATAAGTACATCAAATTTAAAATATTGGCTAAACTAATTTTTATTTTAAAATTTTACTTTATTGATAGGATTTGAACTTACTTTTTTTAGTCACACGCATTAAAAATAAAAATATTTTTATTTCATAGAATTTTCAAATAGCAATAAACTTTAACCTCTAATTACTCAAAATTATGTATTCTGCACTTATACCCTTTTTGCTCTAACCCCTTCAATTATATTTGTTTATAAATAGTTCAAAGGCTCTGTTTAAGTCGTTTTCCCTATAAATAATCTCCCAATTCTCATTTTCTAGCATTGCATTTAATTTTTTGTATTTTATAAGTTTTAACTGTTTGAACTCAAATTTAGGTGTTTTAATTTTAAAATTGTTTGAAATATTAATTAAAATATTGTAATGGTCCGTAATATGTGATCTATGAATAATAGGGGTTATATTAGTATTTTTAAGTTTGTCATTTATTTTTATAAAAGCATGATCAATGCAACTTCCATTTTCGGGGGTTTGATCGATTAATATATGAAATATATCCGTTTGCGCTTAAAGTATTTATATATGCGTTTGTTATGTTATTTTCTGATTTAATATCGATATTTATATCTCCAATAAAAACATTAAAATCACCAATGCTATTGATTTGTAAGAAAGGTGTAAGATCATCTATAAACAAATCAGGATCAGTAGATGGAAGCCTATAAAGAGCAAAAATATTATATTTGACATCATCAATTGAAAAATCAATTCTGGAAACAGTTACTTTAGAACTTTGCAGCCTAAAATGACTTATTAATGGTTTAATATTGTTATTTACAAAGAAAACTAGCCCATCATTTTGATTTAATCTCGATTCGTTATAATATGGTGTAAAATTGTTTATATTATATTGTGAAACCTCATTAATATTCCATGTTTCCCCAAAAATAATTATATTATATTATATTATATTATTATTATTATATTATATAATTAGCTGAAAGTAATTGCTAGACGCATAGAGCCAAAGGTTACACCGCAAAAAGTTTTAAATTTTTTGTGTGAGCACAAACTTAAAGAGATTTTGCCCAATTTAATAACAGCATTGCAAATTTTGTTGACGCTTCCTGTGTCGGTAGCCCGTGGCGAAAACTAAAATTAGTAAAATCCTATATCAGATCGACACCAAAATAGAATAGAATAGAATTGAACCGGTGAGAATAAGAACAGTACAAGTCCAAAAGTCAAAATTTTGACAAAACATTTAAAAAAATCAGTTTTAAAGTTCTAAAAGCATTTTTGTGGGAATATTTTAACGATGTTATAAAATATAATGTTCATATTCTGTAAAATGATTTAAATCTTCTCACAAAAATGTATTTTAAACTTTAAAATTAATTTTAAAAAATGACTTCTCAAAATTAAATTTTTGGACTTGTACTGTTCTTATTCTCACCGGTTCAATTAGAGCCTCAATTAGAGCTAGGGGAGAGTGGGGAGGGTCTGGACACTGGGAGACAATGGACCATTCCAAATTTCGCGGTTCCAGTAAAAATTTCAGGTTGGTTCTACCATTACAGATCGTCAAGTTGGTAAGGTATCAAATAGTGGTAGTGAAATAAGTTTAAGTTTCGCTGTAAAAGAGGTAAGTGGAAAAGTTTATTTTCGAGTTTTTTTTATGTAATATTTTACTTTTCCCCAGATAGCACAAAGAAGTACTGGAAACGTCCTGAGTATATCTTGTATCAGACATTAGTAAGTCCCGAGTACGTCCGAATCAGGTCCTGAACCTTCCCCAGGACGTACCAGGGACATACGATGTTACCAAATCGTCGGTTCCCAGAACGTCCTAAGTAAGACATCCTCTTGCCGTCCTGAAATACTTTATTGGGGATTATTGGACAAGCTCTACAGAATTGAAGAGTGGTATTCCCAAAGGGTCTAAGTGACAAAAATAAAATTGTGAGTTATCAATGAAAAACAAATATTTTGAACATATACATAAATGTTGGAATATTTTTTAAGTCATTCTACATGAAACAAACAATTTTTAAATGATAACACAGTACGACAAAATTTGATTTTTGGTCCCTCCCATGAAAAATTTCTACAGATTCTAAAAATAGAGTTAAAAAAATGATACCCGTGTCTCGGCGTTTTTTCACATCACGTCATAATTTTTTTTTAAGGGCTATCCAATAAAATGTTATTCACACTATTCGCGACATAATTTAATAGACTCGATAACAGCTGGACTGCATAGTTAAAAATATATATATTTACTAAATGGATAGGCAACCATTATAGATGCATTTTAAAATTATTTTAATCTTATACAGAGTTTTGCACATTTATATATATATATCAAACGGTTTATTTTTAAACCAAGTAACAAAATGTTTCAATTTTAAGCCAATCAAAATGCTTTAAAGTCGGGTGATTACAATTTTTATTTATTCAATTTTTTGTAAAAATTGAGCTTTGTTGAATTAACATTTAAAAAAAAAATTAAAAGATATTTAAATGAATCTTAGTCTTAAAGCAAGTGTACCTAAAACATATTTAATTTAAGTAAAAAAAAGTATTTAAGTATACGAAGTCAATTGAAACAGCAAAAAAACAAAAAATTTACACATCTGCGGCATTTATACATAAAAAGCATTGTTTTCAAAACAATCTTTATACGAGGGTAATACTTTTTTTTTAATGTTAAATAAAAACATTATTGCAGCGATAAATCGATACATTTTTCATATTAATTTTGATTGTTGAGTTAACCATCCATTTGAAATCAAAGTAAAAATGCAGTGTCCGAATCGAAATAATTTTTGTTATGTATGTGGTTTAATTGCACCTCCAAGCCATATGCGAAATATTACAAAAAGTGTAGTAACAGCTTTTGAAGACTATTTTTTGGTGACGTATATACCAAACTTATGGTATGTACCAGAGGTTTTATGCGATTATTTTTACCGTTGTTTGCATGGATTGCAAGATAAAACACACAGTATGAAATATGTTGCACCAACAATTTGGCTTCGACCCGTCGCGACGTACCGAACACGCATCTGACCAGTGTTATTTCTGCATGTCAAAATTAAAAAGTTTTGGATTTCGGTACAATTCTAGAGAGAACATTGATTACGCCGATGTAGAATCCGTCATTCTCGCAAGAGTGCGATCTAAAGATTATCCAACTGCTCCTTCAGAAAACATATGTGAGGATAAAAGTAAAAGGCCTTTAACACCCAGTACAACCATTTTTTTCCGAGATGGAATCTGAATTTATTCCCTGTAGTTCGGGTTATAAAGTACATTGTATAACACAGGACATGAAAGTACATATGTCACTGAAAATACATTTTCTCCATGCTCATTTGGACTATTTTCCACCAAATTTGGGCGATTTTAGTGACGAACATGGCGAACGTTTATACCAAGACATTTTAACAATTGAAAAACGCTTCAAGGGAAAAGACGTCAGGCATTTGCTGGGTGAATATTGCTGGTCAATTGTTCGAGATTCTGAAGCAACATACATCCTGTTCAGAATAAAACCGAATATATCTATATATATATGGGGCGTGGCCTCGCCTCCCTCCAAGGCGCGTCACAGTTGCTTGTGTGATAAACGACATGACGAAAGGTCGAGCAGGTAAGGACTTAAAAAATTAAAAGATAATAATGCAAAAAATCTCATTAGCGATGCAGTCTATTTGCTTAGCTACTGTGTCGCGCGTTGGAGGGAGGCGAGGCCACGCTCCATATACATATATATATATATATATTATAGATATATTCGGTTTTAGTCTGAACGAGCTGTATAATCGTCAAACTAAACGACCAAGATTTTATTCCAACATGTATTGAATATAAGATAAATACAAAAATGTGTTTCATTAAAAAAAAAATAAAAAAAAATATTTAAAAAAAATCAAAATATAAACTTTTTTTATATTTGTTTTTTGTATTGTGTAAAAACATACAATATTTACAAAAAAATATATTTTTAACCGAGTAAAAAATGTACAATCTGTATAAGCATAAATAATATGAATGACGGCTTAAAATTTTTTTATGACGTGATCTCGTGAAACTGTGAGACATGGGTACGTTTTTTTTACCTCTATTTTCAAAATCTGCTAAAATTTTTCATGGGAGGGAAATCGTGTTGTACTGTGTAATATATTATTTAGTCAACTTGACGCTTATACCCTTTAGAAATACTATGCTTTAATTGCTAAAAAAAATTACGTCCTTGGGACGTACCGAGTATATCCGCTTTAATTTTCCCAAATAAGTAAGAGACTGGACGTACCCAAAACTTCCGATATAGGTCTGGCACGTTCGGACCTATGTGGGACCCGAAATGGACTTCCTGTGTAACTCTTGTGCTATCTGGGCCCCTTGTAAGCTTTTTTGCCTAGACCGTTGTAGATAAATAATTTAAAGTTACTACATATTAAAGCATGTATAAAGCATGGACTTTTTGTTATATCCTTACTTTATTCCGTTGCTATATTTTAAAATTATAAATATTTTTTTTGTTCCACATCATGTAGGGAGAGTTTGGACACACTGTCTAGAGTGTTCCTTTATTGTCCAAACATCGTCCCGGGACTATGTTAGCAGAATATTGAAAAAGTTAAACCCAGGATATACAGTCAAATTCCTTAAAAGGCAGTTTCCCTCATACAGATTTAAAGAAACAGATGAAGATGAAGCCTTGGTGGATTTTAAGGACGTGGTATTGGTTCTTCCCCCCCATTGACGAAGTTCGATTCCATAACATGATTAACTTTAATTTTGATTTGTCCCAATTAAGTATTGTATAAGTTTTGCACTGATTTTTTCAATAAAATTCATAAATTTATAATATTTTTATAGTGTCCAAATGCCCCCGTACGCTTTCCAGATTCTCCCCGTATGT